TTCCCTCATCCAAGTCATTGATGAATATATGACTTTTCCATTATGGCTTTCCAGTTCTTTATGCTATTGAATGCTACATCACATACTTACCAACTTGGGATAAAAGCTCAAATTATGACAGTCAAAGACTTCAGCAATAGGTATTCTAAGTAAGTAATTATTCTAAGAATTCAAGTGCTTGGACAGTGCAACCTCAAACCACCACAAATTCTTGCAAGCTGTATACTAGCTCTGGCTTCAGAAAGTCTTGCGATAGTCTTGCTATTTCGACTAATATTTAATCCTTTGTGGCCACAAAAATATGGCAGTTACCAGAGTAACTAGGCACAGAAAGAGAACTGAATAATATTTTATAAAAGCACTTTCAAAATATATTTTTAGAAATCAATAATAAGCTTCAGATCTCATTCAAGAGAGAATAAAGTTCTCTTAAATATAAACATAACCTTTCTTTTCACTATGATGACCATCCAAGAGGAATATAACAGCAGCTACTTGAATTCTGGTTTTTGTTAGGTTAATTTTAACAGACTGCCAGCTCACAATGTTACCTGATGGCTTTATAACACAGAGGTATTTTCCATTAGCAAGCAGGACAGTCTTGCGTTCACTTTACTCATAATCTAAGCCAAAGCAGAACTTGCACACCATCAGATCCCAAAACTACCTCAATTATACAACCTGAAAACCTTTAAATTGTGTGCCCAAATAGAAGAAGACTCCTCGTCTTTATTGTGGATGCACATGCACATATATTTATGTACGTAGACATTAAATCTATTCTTCATAATGACCCTGATTAAATAGCACTGTCCATACAGCTCACACGTTGTGAGTTTTTAGGGGCCCAGAAAATGTTGATTAATAACTAAAAACAGTTGGAGACAAAAAAGACGGTTGGAAATTGTCATTGCACCAATGCAGATGGTCACTAAAAATGCATCTTATACTCACCTACTGTTAGGGCATCAAATAACCGATGTATAGTGTCAATATCTCTGACAATCCCAGACTCCTGGATTCGCTTCACAAAATCGTCCAGTTGCATGTGTGTTTTTGGCAATTCAAAATTTTTCACGTGGTCATCTGTTTTCACAACTTCTCTTTGTTTTTCCATCACTCGACTTATCAGCTTCTTCAGCTCGGGTTTGCGGTCTGCTTGAGAACGCTCAGGAGGAGACAGGGTTTCCACTATTTTTCTTACAAGATCAGTAGGGAAAATTCTTAAGTCTGTTTTATCTAGGTTCTGAAAGTCAGAAAGTGCATTTAGTAGTTTTCCTTGCATCAAACTAATAAGTCCCCGGAGGTAGAAGTACCTTGCCAGCAACGCTGAGTTATCGGGTGGTAAAGTATTGATAGCTTTGCTGAGATGGTTGAAGAAGTCAGTATAGTAGGAGTGAACACACTGGGACATCAGAGGAAAGTGAATTTCTGGGATTTTGAACATACTGACTGATTTGGAGGGCATTTTCACAGCTAAAAAGAAAGAAAAAAGTACATTGATTAGTACAAGTGTGAGTATCTTCACAACCAGCAACACCACAAACAACAAAAAGCATCACGGCAACAAGCAATTAAATCACATGAAAGTCAAGTGAGATTACAGTTGTGCTAGGGACACAAATAGATTTCTAAATCCATTGTGCTTATTATCAGAATATTCCCTAATCTAATAATATTAATATTTTGACTTAATATAGGACTTAACTTTATAAAGGACTTGCTTTGTTAAAGATAGATATGTTTAAAGGCAGTAGAGAACTGGACATAAGGAGGGTAAGAACCCACTCGGGAAGCAATTTTACAATATCAGTCAGACTGTGTCTTCTGTGGTACAGCAAAATTTACAGTAGACCACAGACTGATTTAACATGCAAGAAGCAGCACAGACAGGTCCCAGCTCAAAATGACCCAGCTCATCATTTCTTTCCAGCATCTGACACTGTTTTTGTGAATATTATTCAGTGATGGCACCCAGAAAGACAACAGAAAAAACACCGTATTTATTCAACACTTTCTTCCCTTACCAACGCCCGTTTCTATTCTTCGAAGTGAGGAATTTCTAGTGGGGCCCTCTGGCAGCTTGATATCTTGCAGATTAGGCATACTGATCACCATACGTCTACTAATCATGTACTGGGGATTAAATCGCTTAGAAGCCATTTTCTCCATAGTCAGTCTTCTTGGGGTATGAAACATCAAGTTAAATCTGAGAAAAAATTTAAAAAATTATGTAACTAGTTTTAAAATTCAGTATACATACACATTAAAGTACTTGATTTTATTTTTTTCTGTATAATAGTATTAAATTACATTTATAGGACCAATTCACAGTTTCAACATCCATGGCTGGACATGCTCATATCACCCTTTTATAGCAATCTTAATAAGATGGCCTATCAATTTGTCATAATCCTATTCATTGATAACCTGATCTCATATCAACAGAGTCAACACGACTTTTATCACTGATCTCAACAGAAGATTCAAAACCAAAATAAGGAATAAGAGAACTTTACCTGTCCTCTTCAGACTGGGTACTCAGCTCGAGCCGAGCGAAAGCATCCATCTTTCTGTTCAGACGAGCTTTAAGAAAAGAGTGAAACATGTAGGTCTCTAAAACCTGTGAGACACAAACTGGTTAACTGTGGATCACTGCAAAATTACATCTTTATTAGCATGCTTTACTCATTTTTATTATCATTACATATGTAAAGCTGAGAACTTTCCATGTAGCAATCACAAAACCTGTTCCTGCCTGTATCCAGGTGCTGATAATATTGTCTATGGTTTGAAATAATAAGTCTGTGGCACTTTAAATTAACATTATGTCATCAAACTGACAAGACAAGCGAGTTATCTTTTCTCCAGGTAACCCCCAATATCATTCCCTGCTCAGGTACTTATGGGAGGGGGGTCCAACCAGAAAAAAATTCTAAAAGATCAAATTACTACTTTTAGGATAGAGGCCACCATTAAAAAGTCTTTACAAACTTACTAACAGAGAGACCGTTTATTTTTTAATGTAACTATGAAAAATTACTTTGATTATTGATCTATCCCAGAGGTTTGCCTAAAGTACCACTGTTAGGCTTGGAGTCTATCAGAGGACACACATAATATAATTTTTTAACTAAAATTTTTAGTTAGAAAATAAAACAAAACAAAAATTGATCAGACATCAGTGTATTCCTATGATGTTTTAAAAAAGTGAATGGTAAAGATTAATAGGTAATCTAGATACTCTGAAGTTAATGAAAATATTTCACCAACAAATAGGCAATTCTTATTCAAGATGCCTCTCATCAATCCATTTGCAACATGTCCTGTAAAATGGCATCTACAGAAGTATTAAGATTTTTGCTTTTCATTATTTCTCCAGTAGGTGGCGTATTTTGTTGGCAATTGTAAGTACAGGACATGACAAGGCGCAGAATTGAAAGGGCCCTTTCTAATGATTTTTGGAGTTAATATACTTTAGTTATCCCTAGTAACTACTCCATGCTGCGTCATCTTCTAAGATTTACTTGAAAGCAAACCTGCCACTATGTTATTTAGTATTTAAGTGAGTCAACTGCTCAAAGCTTGCCTTACATGTGCACATCTGAATTTTAAATGAATATTAAATTTCAACTCATAAAAATTGCCATTATTTTATTTATAGAATTAGAAACTGCTAATGACAATATTTGTTTCTATTCATTTGCAATCCTGGTCAGGATATTTCAGATTAATTTCTCTCCTGATGATGTATTAATAGGTTCTTTTTCATTATTTTGTTTGTTTGTGTTTAAGAATGTTTGCTAGTGTTGCAAGCTTTATCCAAACACTGTTTCCTATTTAGGATTCATCATTTTGTTATTTTTGAATTGTCAGATATTCTGCCCAGTTTGGCAACTACCGCTGAAGTAAAATGAGATACTTTTCTGATCATTTTCCTCATACACTGACATCTCCTTTAAATGGATGTTCAGAAACTTTTCTTCTCATATGTTTGAAGCAGGGAACAAAACAGGAAATGAAGAAAAGGTGTTATCAACCACAGCCTGTTGATGTTAATGAACAAATCTTTTGTAACTCCTCCACCTCTGGTGGGATGAGGAGGAGAAAATATAACAAAAGGCTCACGGGTTGAGACAAGGAGAGGGAGGGATCACTCACCAATTACGGTCATGGGCAAAAAAGAGACTGAACTTGGGGAAAATAAAACAACTTAATTTGTATTTGTTTAATTTGTCATCTCACCATGGGCTGCAGCAGAATCTCTGCTCTGGCACGCTTCCTCCTCCTCCTTTCTTCACCAACCTTGGTGGGAAGAAATGCACACCGCAGAAGGGACCCACACTACAGCAATTCATGAATAAGCTGCAGCCCACGGGAAGGACTCACATCAGAGATGTTTGTGGAGGGCTATCTCCTGCAGGAAGGATCCCATGCTGGAGAAGAGGAAGAGAGCAAGGAATGCTCCCTATCCCTGAAGAGGAAGGAGCAGCAGAAACAGCATGTGCCAGCAACGTGCCCTTGAAGCCAAGAAGGCCAACGCCATCCTGGGGTGTATCAGAAGGGGGGTGGTTGTAGGTCAGAGAGGTTCTCCTTCCCCTCTACTCTGCCCTGGTCAGACCACATCTGGAATATCGTGTTCAGTTCTGGGCCCCTCAGTTCAAGGACAGGGAATTGCTTGAAAGAGTCCAGTGCAGAGCCACAAAGATGATGGAGGGAGTGGAGCATCTCCCTTCTGAGGAGCGGCTGAGGGAGCTGGGTCTCTTTAGCTTGGAGAAGAGGAGACTGAGGGGTGACCTCATTACTGTTTATAAATTTGTAAAGGGCGAGTGTCAGGAGGAAGGAGCCAGGCTCTGCTCTGTGATGTCCAATGACAGGACAAGGGGCAATGGGAGCAAGATGGAGCATAGAAGGTTCAATCTGAACATGAGGAAAAACTTCTTTAGTGTAAGGGTGACAGAGCCCTGGCCCAGGCTGCCCAGAGAGGTTGTGGAGTCTCCTTCTCTGCAGTCATTCAAAACCCGCCTGGACGTGTTCCTGTGTGAGCTGGTCTGGGTGATCCTGCTCTGGCAGGGGTTGGACTGGATGAGCTTTCGAAGTCCCTTCCAACTCCTGATATTCTGCAATTATGTAAACTGACCAGAACCTCCATTCCCCATCCCCTTGTGCCATGCAGAGGGAGGAGGTAGAGAAATTGGGAGCAAAGCTGAGTCTGGGAAGAAGGGAGGGGCTGGGGGAAGATGCTGATTTTAAGATCTGGTTGTATTCTCATTATTCTACTTTGATTTGAGTGGTAAGACATTAAATAGTTTTTTTTTTCTCCTCCCACAGGATTTTGCCTGTGACCATAAGTGGTGACCATAAGTGGTGACCATAACCCCTCCCTTTCCTTGTCTCAACCCACAAGCCTTTTGTTATGTTTTCTCCTCCTCATCCCACCTGAGGGGGAAGTGACACAACACAGGCCCATGGCCTGGAGCCAAGCAGGCACTGTCAGCTCCATGCCCTGTTGCTCAGGCCGCAGATAAAGCAGGTACTTTGATTTGTGTCATTAGAGCTCCCTTCTGCTGCACTCACAGGCTTGCTGAAAACTCATGTCTACATATGGGCTTCAGTCCAAATGGTTTGGACAAGTGCCTGCACTTAAAATACAGTTTAGATGTAGCTTTACTGACCATCTGCCATAGGTTAATCTCACCCCCAAGGAATTACATTTCATTTGCTCTGGAATTACTTAGTACCTTGCTCTCTACTATTTTATCTGTTTACAGTAAGAAAGATAAATTTTGTAAAGCATTCTGTGAAAGTTGATGATTCAACAGCACCACATAGACCAAACAGAGACCATTTTTTAATATTTGGCATTAATCCTAAAATAGAGATAAATATGTTGTGATTATCTGTTATTAAACACCAAATTTACCTTTCTGTAAAATGGCTGGTCTCCGATTGCCCTTGTTTTCAGAAATTCTTCACTGTTAAACACTCTGTGTTCATAATTTAGATGGTCTTTAACCTCCCTGGAGAGAAAAATAAATAAATAGATAAATACACTTGGAGATTGGTAAGCAAGTTGCACTTTTGCAATAGCAGCAGCCCACTGGTACTACTAGAAATACGCTGCAGCATCAGAAAGCAAACTCAGTTTTAATGAATATCTCAGTTACTGAATCATATGAAAAGAATGCAAACTCTTATAAGAAGTAAGACAGGCTACCTGCTGCCACTGCCATTTGAAATCAGCAAATTCACTTAGAGTCTGTGGGATCAATTTTAATAAAATTTTAGTATTTAGAATCTATATATTTAAGTCATGAGTTAGGTTCCAATCGTAGAAATACATTTACATATACAATCCATTTGGAGCACAAAAAAATCAAATTATAAGTTATTTAAGCTAGATCTGTGCAAGTGGCTAAAATCAGGGCTCTTTTTATGACATCTTATTTCATCTACTCATGCTGGGTATTGAGAAACAAAGAATTCCCATGAAAATACATGAATGAAGAAAATGGTGAGCTAAAATTTGAATGGAAGCGCAAAAGAGAAATCTTGTACCCATGCACAGACCTGACAAAGGGTCTATACATGGCTTGTCTTTCACAGATGAGTCATAAATGCCCATTACCAGTTTATCAAGCCATATGGGTTCAGGAAAAAGATAGTTAGCAAAAGTACATAGTTCTATATAATTCTGCATAATTTAGCATTGTTTGCTGTAAACGTGGAACCTACACACACAAAAAATACTGAAGAGAGTAACAACAGGCAGCACAATTGCATCAGAGATTTACTTTCCTTCACTCCTGGACGCTGGCAGATAGAGCATTAGAAGACAGAAGAAACAAGGCTGAAAAAAAGAACAAAGAAAGAAAGTTTGAAGAAAAAGAGAAAGAAAGCAAGAGAAGAAACAACCTCTTTGCAAAAGATACTGTCTCTTAGAGAGCAAAGCATCTGCTCACTGTTTACAGTCAAGCATTTATTGCACTAAGGAGTTCAAGCTGTTAGCAGCAAAACACATTTCTTCTCATCTTTATCTGCAGCACATTGTTGCCAAACACTGAAATCCACCAAATCCCAAAGCAGTAGCACATCAGGTTGGAAATGCATTCATTTTGTACATCCAGCTGTGCTGGCTGTAACAGCTGTTCTATCCCTCCATACCCAGCAGCTATTGCCTCCCTGGAGGGCTCAGCCACGTATATGAACTCTCCCTAAGCTGATCTAACAAAACCGAGCAGGTTATTTGGAGCTGGTATTTGGACTACGAAAATTAACCCAGCTCCTTCTGATTCAAAGTGTTAGGGAGGATTCCTGTGAGCAATTTGGCAGCTGAACCAAAGGGGAGCACCATCTCCGGCAAGGAATAGCTGGGGATGGTTATCTGCGCAAGTATTTGCAGATCTCTGTCCCTATAATCAGATTATTTAGAAATACCAGGTAGGCAGTTTCATTTTCATGTCAAGTGTGTTAGTATCTATGTAAAAAGAAATGAAGCATATGCAAACCAGCCATCCATGTGCTTTTCTGTACAAATCACCTATCACACTTCCATTCTGTCCCCAAATACAACCAAGGAATAGCAGGATTTACAACTAGTACCCAAACTGATAAGATAAAGCAACTGTGAGAATCAACACATTATATTAGATTAAGAACAAGGAAAATTAGCATAGCTGGACCTTCTTCTAGTGAAAAGGCTCCCTAAACCTACTCTACATCATCATTAAAATATCGATTTCTTTTGCCAAGACAGTGTCCTTGAGCTTAAACAGCTCTTCTTCCTCCTCCTTTCTCATGTGGTTGAACTCTCCAGATACCTCAGCCATTCTCAGTAATTTTTCAGTTACCCAATACACCTCGAGGTGTTCTGAACTCCTGGTCCTGCTTTCAGCAATTCTACTCTGTCCCAGTTTGAATTGATTTTCCTCTAATAAGAGTGACAAAGACTGTGTCCAGTTACAAATTGAAATCCCTGCTGGGACTTAAGCTTTTCCTAATCAAGAAATATGAGGCCTGCACTCCTCTTCCTGGAATCTTCATATAAGCTCAAAATAAGCACAATTTTCTCTAAGATGTCCTAGCAACGTCTATGTACATACATTAATTACTGACATCCCAGCAGGCTAGCAGGCCCTCTTTCTCATATTCCCTCACAAAACTTAAGATACCTAGAGAATATCTAAATAAAGTAAGACAAAATAAAGCATATTTTCAATGACAGTGGAAGTGTCTTAACCAGTTCCATATGCTCTTATAATAAAAAACTACTATATCCACCCACCTGAAAATATTAACAATTAACTGCAAAGTCATTTGCTGAACTTCTGTATTCAGTTTCTGTTGCCAAGCCCTTCTACGTGTTTGGAGTTCACCAAGATCTGTGCTGGTTCGGAGGTGGCAGAGCTCTAGATCATAATGCAGCTGAAGACTCTCCACTCTAGACAGAGTAGAAAATTATCAGGTTACACCCTAACACCAACAATTTTTTTCATTCCTTTTAAAGAAAAGGTCATTTAGGCCTCACGCATCTTACAGCTCGAGAAAGTACAAGATTGATTTGCAAGTGTTGACAGGCCAACAAGATTCCTGGAAGTCCTGCTCATACACGTAAATCACAGTGCACTTGATCTTCTTTGTAAAGAACAGTAAAATTCAGAGAAGAATCCGTATCAGTTATAAAAAAGCACTCTAGGTGTTGCAAAATAATATGGTTGTGATTATGACTGATTAAAGTTAGCTGTATATTAAGTAATTGAAAATTTCAGTTTGCCCTTATCAAATATATTGTGTTTTATATGAATGAAACAATACAATAAATAATAAAATAAAAAACTTAGAAAGAGCATCAAATGTGATTTATGCACCAAGATAAACACAACTTCAACATCTTTTCACCTTTTTATGAAAGTTTCCGCTGCTTGCACTGGAACATCTGGAATTTCAGATTCCTCTCCAGCCAGTTTTGAGTGTGTAATATTTCCATTATCTATATTAATCAGAATTAAATCTTCAGCTTCCTTTTAACAAAAGAAAATAGAATGACTGTAAATATACTTATATTGTAAAAACATTTGCTCTTACTTTATGTACTTCTCAGACAACAAATTATTTCAGGAAGGAAATAAACCAGAAAGTGACAGATTTTATTCCCCAACTACAAGATTGTATGGGTAACTAAACAATTATATTCAAGAAAAATAAACATCATTTAATTCATAGATATTCATCTCAGTACATAAAAATTTAGTAACCTAATACGCTCTTCACATAGTATTAAATTAATACTGGATCTCTAAGCCTATCCCTGAAAAGCTATTCATTAAACACAACCAGTTACTGTTAACTAATATAAATATTTATCTGCTTCATTTTAACTCTGGATTTGTTGATTCTGAACATGCCTAGATGTACCACTTTCGCTTTGGCTTATAATCAGGTGGATTAATCTATATAAATTTACACAATTTTTCTGTGCTTGACTTTGAACACTCACAGAAACTCTATGTGACACCCCCAAAATAAAGTATATTCACATTAGCCCTCCGCTATGAAGGTGAGTTTTTCTTAAATCTTTTGGGGTAACCAAGATTAATGACACCCACTGAAAAAGGCCTAAATAAGGTTCTGAAAAAAGAAGACAAAAACGTAGTCAGAAAAATTGTAAGATTATATTATTTACACTGTTTTTACTTTCTTAACTCCACTCTGGGGAACAGCAGCATCCTTAGACTATTTTCAAGTGCATGCTCAATTCTTAACCCAGATGTCTGGAAAAGGCATCTAATTCATCGCACACAACTCCGAGCTTTAATATAAAATAATTATGAAAATAAAATTATAAAATAATCTCACCAATCTGAATGGAAAGTTTTCATACTATACAAACAACATATAAGTAGAATTTTTCCCCCCAAATGAAACCTGAACTCACAAAAATCATTATATTACCCTGCAAAGAATAGAAAGGTAATGAGATACAACAATAAGCTTTATCCCATGAGCCAGTGGTCACATCAGTAGGGTTCCACTGCTCTTAATTTCTTCATTTCTCACACACCTAAATAACAAAAGCAAGTTTCTGAATGCATCTGAAAGAAATAAGGGGACAAACGCACTGGAAGTGAACAGCAAGAGTGGTAAGTCTATAACATACCGTGCTAACTTCTTCAAAATGATCAATATGACATCCCATAAGAAAAGACGTTGGGGCCATTACGAAATCCAGCATGTGACGAGACAGAATAGGCACAAAAGTGTGTTGCCACTGAAGAGGATGAAGGTACAGCATAAAGCATTCAGCAACAAGTGTCAGCAGAGCCCAATCAGAAGAGAAGAAAACGATTCTCTGCTCGGTCAAAATGCAGGTCATAACCTGGGAAAAAACCCAAAATCATAAAAGTTAACCAAGAGTTGTAACTAGGACATACGACACATGCACAAATATTGCATCTGCTTGGGAAACTCGGCCTCACAACTTCTGTTGTTTTAATAGCTACCTTATATATTTATAAAGTGAAATAATGCCCACTTAAAGATTCTTACAAAGCCAAGAAGAAAACAGAAAAGGAGAGGAAAATTAAGTGACAGTGGAAGTCAGTGAGAGTTTTGTCACCAACGTCAATGATCTTGAGCAACGTAATTTTACTTCATAGGTGGCCTTTGACCAGGGAATTGCATCAGGAAACCTACAAAGGACACTCCAAGCCAAAATCATTATAAGATTCTAAGAAGCACTGAAAAAGTTTGCAAACAGCTTATTGCATTTTCTTGTCTTTCAACTGTTACTAATCCATCCTACAGGTCCCTTCCACATGAAAAAGGTTCTTATGAATCTTGTAGAAATGCAGGTACTGAGAATTCAAAATCAAATCTGTCAGTTGGCTTGACCATTTATATTTTAAAATATACTCTTAAGAAATTCAACACTTATTGCTAAACAACAGAAGAAATCCAATATGCCTTAATCTAATTCTAGTCTATAAATAATGAAATATTTTAATAAGAAGTATATTTTATTGTGCCATATGTCTAATACACAGAACTAACACTATTTTGAATTTCTGGGATTAATTTTTTGGTTGGGTTTTTTTGCTAACTAAACACCTTGATTTTTTTCAAACCACAAATTACCAGTACTGTCACTTTCTAATACATTTTAAAGTATCAGTTAGTTTTACCTGTAGCACCTGCTCTGGCTTGAAACACAGCAAGGGAAGGTGAAGATCCAAGTCAATAATTGGGCTGTCCGGATCCTCTCGTGAAGGAATTATTATTTGAAGTGGTTTCATATTAAATACCTGTAATAACAGATGTTTTCCATTTACTTCTTCATGAAACTATTCCCATACCACATTTAATTCAGAGTTTCAGTTCCAACTACAAAAGATTACCATTAACTGAAAGCAAGAAGACAGATATTTGCATACTTCAGAAAAATGAAACAGAAAGAAAGGGAAATGATAAAAGACGTAATAATTAGTTTGAAAGATTAACATGAACTTTGTCTCCTTTCAGTCTCATAGGCTGTGTAGCCAATAAAACCTTAAATATGTATCTTTCAATGTTTCAAATACTCCAGCTCAAATCTCTGGGGGTCAGATTCTGCACATGCTGTGTGTTTCAGCGCTTAGCAGCTCATTTAGCCATTCATTCAATTTTCCAGCTATGCTATTTTTTCCTCCACTCCTAAACCTTCATCCCAGGGTCAAGGAAAGCAGCTAAGGAGACATCCATGTCTGAAGCACTGCCTCCCTAGAAGCCATTTCAGTAAACAAAAGAGACAGTGGGGTGAAATCCCTGACTCAGCAAACATCCAGCTTGACTTGGGAATGGTTATAAAGAAGAAACACAGTCCACACATAGCAGTTTCTACACTGAATATAAATGTTCATGTGAGTTTCTCCTCTCAGTTAACTCCAATCCAAGCAGCAGCCAATCCAGAATATTTAATCCACTCACCAGAACATTTCATCCACCACAAACTCTTCTCAAGAGTCCCTCAGACACAAGAAAAGAACAAGTCCAGAGCTGTACGTGTTGTTCCAGCAACTGATCAGGCAGCATGTCTTGATATCAGACACAAGATAGGGAACTCCCATACTTGGCCAAGTGATAGTTACATGATTTACTGCAGTTTATATATGTGTATTCAAGGAGATAGCCATGGTTGAGGTGAAAGATAAACTTCCATTCTTATAGCGTAGTTACAGACTGGAGCACCCAGCCACTTGCAGTAGAGATTATGTGGGCTGCCCCTCTAGAACCCAAAATTAAGTTATGCTGTCCTCAGATCTACCCACATACCATGTCAGACAGAAAAAACTTGGCATGAGCCAAATTCTTCCCAGAAAATTATTAAAAATTAAACAGCATGACCAACTGGTATGGCAGTGCTCAAGCCTGCACCCTGGGCACAGTTATTTTATGCACTCATAATGCATACCCTTATTTTCACAGCACAGGTATTGAGATCAGTTTCACATCAGCAAGTACGACCTGACAGTGGAGAATGTCCCCCCAGTTTATAAAAAACATCTTAGTGCTTTATAAGATGTCAACGTTAATCACAAAATTCAGCATCAGTAATTACCAAGTGGAGTGGTCCTGGTGGCGGGCTGGGCACTAAGAATAATTTTGCTGTGAATTCTTTTATGTGCTCCTCAACATCTAAATCCTTGTAAGGTCGCAGTTGCACCAGCAAGCTGAAATTAAATCACAGAAAATTACTTATACATAGTAACATGCAAAGAGAAAAAAAGCCTTTCTGCTCATAACCTAGAACTAAAAAAAAATTATTAGGAGCAATGAAGCTATTATTCCAGCTAATTAATTTCTAATTTATTAGACACTTCAGTGGCTTTGTTTAATTTTAATGATGCTGCTGTGTCAGAAGCAGCTTTTTTTTACTTCCATGCATAAAGTATTGTTGTATCATATGTATCAGAGGATGCAGACAGCACCATGGGTCTCACGATAGCGAAGAAAAGCTAGAGGTGAGATGCAGCTAAAGGAAGTGTCTAATTGAGATACACAAAAAAAATAAGTCCCAAATCTTCAGAAAATCCAACATTTAAAGCCTGCAAATCTAAATATAAAGAAACTAGGAACTTAATATGGTTGTATTCTCCCTTGAGGTTCTATTTCAGTTTGCAGTTTTACTGGTTTCCTGCAGAAGAATATTTGCTCTTCAAGAAGGAAGGGGTCTAGACAGCAACTGAACAGGTCAAGAGATATATTAGAATCCAGGATATTATATTTGTGTATGCCATTTTTCCTGAACAAAAATATTCTGTCATAGATTAATGAGCTTTTAATTGGATTAATAAGACACTTAAGTTTACTAAATTCACATTTGGAAACTGCCCTGGCCTGAGCACTAGGCTGTCACACATATCCCCACAAAACCCACCAGCTATTCAGGGGTGCAGAGAAGGCAGGAGGCATGGGAATTTAAGAATTAGCAAAGTAAACCAGACATAGAGGCATCAATTTAAACAAATATACTGTCACACTTGGTAATGCCTTAGATGTGGCCTAACAGCATAGGTAGACCTGCCTTTATTTACTTTTTTTTTAGGCAAAAAGCCCGTATCAACACATCCAGTAAGTGTTACAATAGAAACAACCTGACCCTGATGCTGAAAAAGCAGCAGATGTACAGAAAGGGCGATAAGAGCTCACTGTGCCCATTAACACCACATAATAGCAACTGACAGCTCTGGCACTGCAAACGTCTGCTGAAATAAATGAAGTAATCTCTGAAACATTAAAGCGGAGAGCTAAGGAGTTTATGAACCTTCCATTACCTCTATTAACTGTCCACAGACAGATGTTTCAGAAAGCAAGAATAGGTCCTTTGTACTGCCTCAGTAGTACTTTGTACTGGGAGCTATTTGCACACTTCCACCTTTGAAGGCAGCTGAAAGGACTAACACACAGGTTGGAAAATTTCCTGTTTGAACGGAGCCTATTCATTCATCTAAGATGGGAGTTCATCCAGGAGGAGATTACAGCCAGGAATATTTCACTTTTCTTGTAACAGATTGAGGTAAAACTACCTGTGCAAAGCGCCAAAACCTCTCAATTTAAAACTGAACCTTTTCAAATACTGATGCAGAATAATGCAACAGCCGCAGTGTTGTGAAAGGCTCGTGATGCACATCTGCTTGCTTTGGAGAGAGGCAGACACACTCCAGTCAAATTGTTCCAGATTTGGAAGCACTGAACGCTAGCAATATGTTAATTAGTTATAAAATTAATTACACTGAATATGAAGACCTTTGTTTCAATGATGAAAGTTTGCAAGTTCCCCTTGTAGATCAAAGCACCTACGTAGATTTATAGTTTGATGTTGCCTTTGTATCTCAGTTTGGACTCAGTTGTGATTTCTACTATACGTTGCCGTCTGAAAAAATTTAGGAACTCAGGTTTTATCTGGTAATGCTTACAATGATAAAATACCTTTGAGGACTTCTGAATGAAAAGAAGTACCCACCCCACCTATAAGCAATCCTGTGCACTGCAGGTCCTGGAGAAAATGAGCTACACACAGCAGAATTCTGGAGGAAAATAAAATCTTTTGCTGCTAAAAGGTCCTGAATGGAAGCTGAACTGCTTTAGATGCCACTTCAATATCAGACCATCATTAAATAGGTGGTCTGAGGTACTCCAGCAAGTGTTTTCAAATCCCCAGATTCGCAGAATGATTCATCAGTTGAAGCATCCTGCAAAATACCACTGAAGCATACCAAGGATACAAGTGCACTGTTGAACCCGTTATTATTTGTTAAGTACATGAGGCACTACTGCTTGAGTACACTCGGTCAACTAAAACATTTAATTAGATTTTTAACCCATTAAAGCAAAGATTACAGCTAAGGCATCCAAAATGAGAGTAACTGCCTTTCTGGTTTACAGGAAAATAACGTCAATGTTTCATAACGTTACAAAAAGCTGAAACATCGCCAGCTGTACAGGGCACTACACTCAAAATGCATCATTGAGGTCTTTAACTGCTTACATTCCATTCAGAGCAGTCCCACATCCCAGCCATATGGAAAAGTTTCAGTAACAAAATCAAAATAAGGAAAAACAGTGCCTCTCCAACCCTTCCTTTCCTCCCACACAAGTATACTCTGGCACAGTGAAATACTTTTGCTAACAACAAAACAGAAACAAAAGGGCAGATATTCTGCAATTATCTATCAAATAGTATCCCGGAAAATATGATTATGAATTTTTTAAAAAAATACAGAGGAAAATATAATGGAAAGTTGATCAGTTGAGTTTCCAGTACAGTGGGAAATGCCAGCACCAAAGGCAGCTTTGTCACCTGGATTCCCCCTCTCCTGCCAAGTTACACACATTTGCACCTTACATCGAGATGCAACAGCAAAAAGGAGAGAGAAGAGCTGTGCAACTGTCTAACAAATACCCCTGTTAAATGACCAGGACAACCACAGTACTAATGTGGAAGGTTATTGTCCTCTTAAACTCCCCTATAACTATTCATATATTAACAAATCACTTAAAGCTTAGATGGTAGGTTATTGATAAATCTGAACTCCCCTTAGAAACCACTACAGACTCAGCTTAAAGGGAAAAGCCATCCATAATACTTAGCTTGGATGTTAATAGGTGCAAAAACCTACTATATATGATCAAGGTAAAAACATTTAATTATCATGTTTAAAATACCCACCCAGAGGCAGAAGTTTGCATCACTAGGGAGTTAACTGCACCTGGTTCCTGTCTGCTCTAAACAATACACAGGAACTAGAAATATTTTTGTAACCTCTGGAATTTTCCATGGTTTTCCTGAACATTTCACCACCTCTCCCTTACTGGACTGCTTAAAAATCCACTTGCAAATTAACTGCTTCTTCCAGCTCAGAGATGTCTCACTTCAGAGATTAGTCATTTATGAATATACTATATAAAACATTGAAATCACAGAGCAGAGGTAGCATGAACAGCATCAGTGGTGTCTGCTCATGCTTAAGGGCTGCCAAAGTGACTCATTTCTGATATTACAGCTTTTTTGGAGGCAGCATCTGAACAGCCCAAGGGCCAGGCAATGCTTTCTTTCTCCAAGGCTCTCTTCATCTAAACCAGGGAAAGCCAGTCAAGGTACCAACCAGCAATTTAACAATAAAGCAACATAAAACCTCAAAATAATTTAAATAACTAAATAACAAGACAGACCCATGTTCACTTATCTTTTAACTCATCTGCACTGCTGAGTATTTGAGTGTTTCTAACCAGTGAAGTACTCTGTATCCTAATATTTTCCCTCCTAGTGCTAAGACAGCCAAGTAACCACGGTGGTCCCTCAAGTGACTGGGATTATTTAGTTAAAGTGTCATTAACTGCTTATTAGTACATATATTAATGCTCTTATGACATTTGTTGCATTATAAAGTTTTTTGTGCTTTCCAAGTGATTTTCACCAGCATGGCAAACTATAGTTAAACCTCTTCCAAAAAACCCAAATTCTCTGAGAAATCTGTTCCCTGCAAATGAGTATTTTCTAGACTTACCAAAAACCTGAAAGAAAAAAAAGACAACATCATAACTAATTTCCTCGATATTTAAAAGCTGTGCTTACTGTCTAGGTAACATTCACATTGCATTTCTTCTTTTCCTCTCCCACACATCTCACACTGCTATAACTTAAAATGAATGCCTGTTTTAGCGTTATGCAGCAATCCTGAGCACATCATGCAAATTCACCTATTAAAAACCTGCACAGTTATTTCCAGGAGAAACACACAGGAGAGCAAGTCTTACCAAGAGAGACAATCCTTGAGGGCATTAAAATATGGGTATCTGGATATAACACAGATAGCAAATGGCACAAAACAGACGGGCATCTTCCCGGTCTGTGCAGATTCCCAGTGGGCCTGTCCATTCGAGGAAATACAGCCATCCTGCAAGAAAACTACAGATTAATGTGTTTATGTTAATCATGAATTCATGGCTGATATTTTCCTGAGAACCCTAGAGATATGAAACCCAATTCCCTCTAAATTTCAAGGGGATTTGGATGTCTATCTCCCTTAAGCTCTTCAGAAAAATGTCAGCCTACAAGACTTAGACATATATATCAATAAGAATTTCAGCACAAAAGATACTTAGAAACAACACAAGGTATAATCTTGACAAAATAAAATGTCCAAGGGACAAAGTCTGCTCCTAAATATTCAGAACTCCTAATCAAAATCTGTAAGCTTTTCCTAATGCAATGCTGTTTCAATGTACTTAATCTACAATGGCAACATGATGCATAATTTGTTCTATATTACTACTAACATAAAAACATATCTGTTAACTAATTTCATAAATTAAACCTGACATTATCCTTAAAGTGTTTTAGGTTCTTTTGTACCTTTTAATATGTTTTAATAAAAGCATGAGTTAAATAACATACTTGCATAGGCTGGTAGTACTGTGCAACAACACCGTATGTTCTGTTACCACAGACATCTGTGAAGACCAGGAAATGAATGTGGTCCTCTTTTGATTCAGAAGTTGCATAAAGTCCTCCTGCAATGAAAGCAGAAACGTTTTTTTAAACTACATATTTAACTACAGTTGCTTGAAAAGCGGCTCATGACAAATACTGCACATTTCCACTTAATTTCAAGAGAAATGTCTCATTTTAAGGGATTAAAATGCACATGTACAGTCCATTTGATCTAAGGGCTGTTACAAAGGCTGTAAGCTGCGCATTACTGAAAAAGCAGAAATATTATGTAATTATTCTGCATTTTAAGTGGCAAAATACAATAGATGGGTTTTGTTGGCTTTTTTTCTTCTTCTTCTTTCAAAAAACCCATCTTAGATTAAATGGACTTTCAGTTTCCCTTTCTTGCAGATGTTGCAGCTACTACTGCCAACAGATCTGTTTCACACAACATAGCCACACAGGCTCAGGGCACCCCATGCAGGTACCAGCTGCTTCCATCACTGACCTTCTCACATGCAGACACATTTTTTTATACTGTGAAATACAGAGTTGACCATAAAAACAAAGATAAAAGGCTGCACTATGGGTCAATAAATACATATTAGAACAGTTTTCATTAAGAAGTGTGAACTCTAGCATACCTGGGAAGCATAGCTGTGGCAAACCGATAAGATCAATGTCCTTTGGAACTGTAATATCTTCAGTGTCAGGTGCTTTCTGCTCCCCATTGAGGCTCTTGACATTTTCAATCTTCGGTCTCTCTTTCTTCTTTCGGAAGGACCGGCGTTTACTTTTATTCAAGTTATTACCAATTGTATTGGTCACCTGAATATCATCTCTGCTGATAAATGGAGGCACAAATACAGAGAGAACTTCTGGATCAAGGGGAGGAAGGCTTTTCAGTTTTCTTTGAGTACCCTATAAAAGCAAAAAAACAACCACTAAGTCGAGATTCATCCTGCTAGTTTTTTTAAACAATTTTTAGCCCTGTTTTGTCTCTACTCCTAGAACTGTGGGTTTAGAATACATTCTTTTCTTCTTCCTAAATAATTCATTTTTTCCTTCTAATTTCTTGCTTTACATATGTTAGTGCAAGGGGAATACTGTGGACATTTTCAGTAGGCAAAGAATCATTCTTCATGATTCAAAGTGCACTACATCACCATTATGCCTTTGGCATACGAAAACTAACAAATATCAAATATGATATTTCCTCCTTTGAAGTGTTAGGATTAAGCATAAGCTGTACTTAAAACACACAGTCAGTAAGAGAAAGCAGGCAACACATATATGAAAACAAAAAAGGACATCTGAACTCTCTAGATAAGTCATTCTTCAATTTTAGGAAAAGCTACATTTTATCTTAGAATAACTGCTACAGAAAAAAAATGAACAAAAAAGAAAGAAAAAAAGGAAAAAACCACAAAACCACACAAGCTTTCACAAGACAACTTTTAACTTTATAAGGCAATTAAGAAAATACAATTAAGAATTACAATCACTGTTAAAATAAACACGATTTTAAGACACTGTAAAACATGAAGTCATGAAAATTTCTCCATATACTGATGACTAAGTGGAACAGGCATCCCAAGAGCATGTATAAAATTACAACATTTTTAGTAGGCAGCACTGAAAGCCCTTGCTGCCCTGCTATGAAAAACCTATGAAAGAAGTGATCAGAAGAAGAGATTTCCCATACTTGGGAGCACTTTTTGTATTCTTAACCATGTAGTAGAGCTGCATTTTCAATTACTTTACTGCAATTTGAATTCTTCCTGTAAGGTCAAAACAGCAAGTAAAAGCTTTAGGTCAACGGATATTTGGAAACAGGAAAGGCGAGCCCCACTGTGGCTAAAAAGCCGTTTCGTTTTCAACCTTTTGCTATCTGCTTCAAAAACGGATGAGGCACACATGCAGCTTTTACCTTCAGACATGAGGTATTGGTATTACTTGTATTTAAGATATTCCTTGAGAACCAGTGCTGGCCTCTTTCATCATTTCCCTACTTTTAAAAGCAGCTATAACGTGCAAAGCCCCATTGCTTCACTGAAGCCAATCTTTCACCGCCCAAGTTTTGGGACAGAAAGTCTCATCTTATTTGTCCTAGGAGATGGGTCCAGTAATCTTCCTCACATTTGAGCATGACAGGAAAATTGAGAAGGAATACTTATCTTCATTATATATTAGTTATTGTATCTTAAGCTTCGCCATATTCTATAATAGAATACTTGGAAGAAGTAATAAGAAGTTAAAAAACCCTTTTAATGAACACACAGAGTCTGAACTAGAAAGAAATTACAGTGGAAAAGGTAAAAGTTCAGATTAGTATCCACTGGGAAAATCAAAATATAGCAATGATTTTTAAAAGCACATTACAGATTTGTGTACTGAATGCCATATCCTGTCATGCTAAAAACTTCAAGTGTCACTTTCCTTCCTTAGCTGGCAGCTGACATGCATTTCAAGAGAAAAAAAAATGGAAATGCAGATAAATCCAACATGATCACTCTCAAAATAAGATGCAGCTAAACATTTCAGAAGGAAATGAAGAATTAAGGCTCTGCCATGAGGCTGTTATGCAAGAAAAAACACAGACCTACTCAAACAGTAGCAACCTTAACTTGGCAGATTAGCCCTGCAGAGGTTTTTGGACAAAAGTTGCTTTGACAGGGCAATCCCTGACTTACATTGAAGGCATCTCTGTGCTACACAGTGCTGGATGACAGCCAGCAATTTAAAAGCCTCACAGTGTAACAGCTTCTAAAATGGCAGGTCCTTGATGTCTTGAACTACAACAGAGGCATTAAAGATCACTTTTTTTTCTCCACAAAACAGCACTGTCAGCATTGTCACTGACCCAGTGACTCAGTCATCAGCATGCAAGTCAGCTCATATTAACATCTACGGCCGAAGTCTTATTTTCTTACCCTTTCAGTTCAGGGATAGTGAATATGCAGCAACAGAACAATATGCACTTGTTTCTACTACTCTTTGAACATTTTCTGTTCTCTGCTTCTACTGTTACTTCTTAATTTTGAAACGCGTCTCTCCTTTCGCTTTTTACTATCAAATGTCCTTGCATCATACATAGCTCTGTACAAACACTAACGCCTTTTCTTTCCTGCAATTCTGCAAGATGCCAGAAGTCAGGGATTTTATTCCATTTCCATTTACTTATTATGTTCCTGTAACAACAGTGCCATATATGACATGGATAAGAGACAGACTTTTTTATGACTGCACTATTTCAGACATAAAAAAGTAGTGTTTTGAAACCACAGATGGTGGAGTGTGATCTCAACTACTTGGTGTTTCCTTGATCTCATTCTCCTCTTCCCATCACTGAAGAAGTTAATTTTATTTTGCATGTCATGTCAGGGGGCTGGAGCACCTCTTCTATGGTGACAGGCTGAGAGATTTGGGGTTGTTCAGCCTGTAGAAAAGGCAGCTCCAGGGAGACCTTGTAGCAGACTTTCAGTACCTGAAGAGGGCCTACAGGGAAGATAGGGAAGACTCTGTCAGGGAGTGTAGTGATAGGATGAGGGGTAACTGTTTTAAACTGAAAGAGGGTAGATTTGGATTAGATATTAGGAAGAAATTCTTCCCTGTGAGGGTGGTGAGACACTGGCACAGGTTGCCCAGGGAAGCTGTTGATGCCCCCTCCCTGGAAGTGTCGAAGGCCAGGCTGGATGGAGCTTTGAGCAGCCTGGGCTGGTGGGAGGTGTCCCTGCCCATGGCAGGGGTTGGACTGGGAGAGCTTTAAGGTCTCTTCCAACCCTTCCAACCATTCTGTGATTCTATGAAAAAACTAGCTTCTTTAAGGAATAATTGGGCAGGACAAAGTATGAAGCCTTAAGAAAATAAGCTGAAAGCGACATCTGGATGTTCTAGTGCAACTCTTTGTTCAAAGCAATGATAAGTTTGAAGGCAGATCAGGATGCTCTAGGTCTCGTCCAGCCAAGTCTCAGAAATCCCTCAGGAAGGTGATTTTTTCACCCCCCTTGTGCACCAGCCCTCATATAGCTTAGCTTCTTCTGGTCTCGGCCCCACTTGTCAGCAGTTCTTGAGTATCAAGATACTCAAATGTGAGGCAGTATTCCAGATGTGACCTGAAGAGTGCTGAGTAATAACAACAACAACAATAATCCCTTCTCTTTGGCACTGAGCTATGGTCCTGATGATGCAGGCCATTATGCAGTTACTTTTCACTGCCACAGGTGCACACTGCTGACTCACACTCAACTTGATCACATCTCATTTCTTTCTTGACACCCAGGGGGGCATGACAGAAGAATGAAAAAATTGATTTAGTGGTTATGTCTGCATCAGCGTGGCCAGAGAGTGCAAGGCTGACACTGTAAGAGACAAGATCTGTACCACTTACTGCAGTAGGCAAATACAGAACCTCACGATGGAGCCGATAGGAAGATCTGAGACATCTCATAGACAGCTTACACATCACACTTGCCATATCAAAACCCAGCTTTACAGCTGAAGTGTTACCGAAGATGCTCATTCTTACAAAATACACACTTCCAACACTAAAAAAGTCTTCTCTATCTGAAAATAGCAGCCTTTGATCTATTCAAATTGAAAAGTGATTATTATCTTGGCAATAAGGACAACTGATGAATGACAGCCCAGAAACTTCAGTTCCATGAACTTCAGTATCTTTGTTCCTGGAATCCCCATCGACAACAGGTCAGTCATATAAGACTTTTCTTTCTTTGGGAGTAGTTTATATCATGTTCCCACTGACTTCTTTGACTTTACTACTCTATACTACAATAAAGTTAAGAATACACAAGCACACTTTCAAGAGCAAGATCTGAAGCACTGTCAAGATTTTTACCCTGTTGTTTCATCTGTAAATATCATCAGAGGTCCACTACTTTCCACTGAAATGTTCTTATTTTCTGCCAATAAGGTCTCTTCTTTCTACATTAAAGGAAATTAGACACAAAATATATTCCATCATTTCCTCATGTAGATAGTGCTGCAGAAGAAGAAGGAAGTGGAGTAAATCTATAAACATGCCCTAAGGCAGTGATTGAAATCCCTGTGATGTAACAGCTTGCAGGGACATGACTATAGTTAATATTGACAAGTGTAGAGACTACTTTCCTTTCTAACACTCCATTTTATACCTTGAGGAAAGAAACAATTCAAAATCTGTAGTGCAATTGGAATACAGGAATGGCTCCTAAGTTTTGTAACAAATTTTGTTATTTGTTGTTCTACGGGGTTTTGGAAGCAATGAGATCAAACTGAGCTGACTGGAATGAAAAAGAAATTCCCCTTCTTTTGGTTTACTTCTCACACAGATGCCAAAACAACACCTCCACACCAATTTTAAAAGTCTGGCGGTTACATTTATAGCACAACTACTTCCTCAACTTGAATATACACATGAATGAGGTCCTGGAATTTGCACCTCTGTGTAGCTGATAACGCTTAAGAAGCTGACATCAGCAAAAGCCGTCGCCTGAGCGAGTGAGGAGCAACAAGTTTAACAAAGGCTTCTTTATCTAATGCTATTAGACCGCGCAATCAAATTCAAGTTCAAGCAAGACAACCACGAGCCCTGGGAGCAGCTTGGCTTTGCAGCACGTGCGGGCACCACAGCTACTCGCGCAGCGCGGCCGCTCGCAGGTACCCAACAAAACCATCGGTGTGTCTGAACAAAGCAAAATCTGGAAAAGGACTTTTAATTGTTAACTCACATGTGAAGTGGCTATAGTCATAAACAAATTATAAACCACATATTCAAAGCAGAAACCTACCCAGCAACTTCTGCCTTATCTGAATTGCTCAGCTTGTGCCAAATTCGGAGCACTAAGCTCACAGGGATTTAGACCTCCTGTTGTCCTAAGGTTAAAGTTACCAAGATTTATTCCCCTACCTTTTATCTTCAACAGAGGATGGGAAATGTGATCTCATCCAGTGAAGGACATGCATTGTTCAATCATTTTGTTGTTCCTGCTTATATAAAGCTACACTGCGTTCCTCGGCTAAACTCAGATTTTTGCAAAAGTGTAATTACTTAACGCTGCTACCAAATTATCCTCACTTTGTTGATGATCTCCTGTCAAAACAAGTTTTCTTTAAAGTATTTCTGCTCTACCCGCTGATAACAGTAAGGCAACTCCATAGTTTCACTTAAGTCCGTACAAGAGGACAGGCCTGGCCAGGGAGAAGCTGACCCGGGTCAGACTCCGAGCAGAAAACCGCGCTGACAGAAGCTGCCCCACAGAGCAACGGGGGCACCGCCGAGCCCGCCCACCCCGCGCTCCCTT